CAGCAGGAAAATGTCATGAATGTTACAAAAGCATGTGCCAAGGAGGGAGCTCTCCAAAGAAAGTGAATTAACAGGAGGAACCAAGAATGATCGGAAACAAAAAGAAGGCAATGATAAAAAAGAAAGTGGGAGATTCGAATTTGTGACAATTAACAGGAGAAAAAAAGACCTAGTTTATGTTAATTTAGAGGCAGTCAGGAAAAGTATATACTTGTACATTTATTTGTGGGTTTTATTATTTTGTAATTTAAAAGTAGAACAAACAAAGCATTTGGCAACCATTGGCTCAGCCACTCTGCTTGTGCGTTGTGCTTTTGCTATCCCTCCCCTTTAGCAGAATCAACTAACGTAGTTTGGGAAGGACCTGGAGCTCGTGCAGTCCCACCTCCCACTGCGAGCAGGTCCGACTAGAGCAGGTGGCTCAGGTCCATGTCCAGCCAACGTTTGAATATCTCTGGGGAAGGAGATTTCACAGCCTCTTTGGGCAGCCTCTTCCCATATCTGACCACCTTCATGGTGAATTATTTTTTTTTTCTTGTATCTCCATGAAGTTTCCCATCTTGCAACCTGTGTCTGTTGTGTCTCGTCATTCCCTTGTGAACCTCTGAATAGAGCCTCGCTCTGTTTATCTTTAGCCTTCTGCTAGGTGGCTGGAGACAGAGAGAAGATCCCTCCTTAGCCTTCTTTATTGCACTGTCTGGATTTGCTAACTGCTCACTAGTCTACAGTACTTTTAATATGTTTCTGTAGTCTGAGGACTTGAGAACTGCCTGCTAAGACCAACACGCAAGTTGTACAGTATACAAGTTTGGTCTTAGCAAAAAATCCACATGCTTGTATACGCTTGCTCTGGCAGCTCCTCCTTGTTAGACTGTTTTGCAGTGAGCTGAGTTCAGGTTTAGTATGGATCCACTCGCTTTTAATTAACCCATAATGAATCATGGATTGCCTGATTTTCTGACTTGTTTCTGACCCTGGAGATGCAATAACAACTGTTCTAGTGATTTCCCACCCTTAGAGAGGTGAATAAACCAGGTAAAGCTGCAGAAGTCCGTATGGGTTAATTGAATGCTTAGACCAAAAGCTTTGGTGCTTTTGGTTTAAATGCGTCCCCCTTTATCTACTCATGTGGCATAAAGTTAGAGGGATGTATTCTGAAATATTTCTACCATCCACAATGATACTTGCATGTTAAAGAAAAGAAAGTTTGCATGAGAAGTTCTTATTGATACTGACATTTTTACTTTATCTTCATCAGGTAGAAGTGGTGTAGTGTTTGGCTTAGGCTTCAGATAACATACAGCAGATATCTGGGAAAGAATGCTGCAGCTAGATTGTCACCGTCACGAGAGATAACAGGGGAAGCCAATCAGCAGAAATGACTAATTTAGACACTTCCTTGCAGAAACTTTAAACCTTTTGGAATACCATGGAGCTGAGTCGAAGAGGTGAAAGTCTGGTTCCTGTTCCCTGGATCATGTGTGGACTGAATTATACTGATGTCAAATTAAAAAAAAAAAAAAAAAAAAAAAAAGCAGTCCCGGGAGCAGGGACTAAAGCTGCTCCATCCTCGCTGCTCGCTGCCTGCTCTCAGCTCCCTTTGCCCTTCTCTGCTTTTAATCCCACACGTTCCTGGCTGCATGGGGCCTCACTTGTATGAAGATGCACTGCTGGGGATGGGGAGAGAGCCTTTCTCTTTCTTTCTGCCAGTGGTTTCCTTGCCTCGTGCCAGTACATCTTGCGATGTTTTCCTAGGACCAGTCTCCCTGTGCTGCACAGATGAGTGAACAGGCTCTAAGTTTAGCAGAACCAGCTTTTGGTCCAGGTTTCTTCCTTCATAGGCAGGGAGATAGATAGCAACCTCTTCCATTGTTGTTGGTTGGGGTGGGGGATTTGGCTTGTTTTCATGTGTGGGTTTCATCATTTTGCAACACACGTGCTTTTCTGTGCTTTTACACTGGTTTGATATAAGTAAGATTAGATGCTCCATCTGAAATGTGTCCTTTGCTGTTACAGACAAGAATATAAGAACTGGGATGGGTGCAGAAAGATTCAGCTGTGTCTTTTGAAGGGAATATTTGTTTTCTGGGTATCTTGTTGTTAATCTGATTGTTTGGTATTGTGTTTCTTTCTCTTTTTCTCTTTCTCTCTCTCTCTCTCTGCTTTTTTTTTTTTTCCCCCCCCCTTTAGGCTCTAGATGGGTTCTTCTTTGTAGTGAACCCAGAAGGTAATGTTGTGTTTGTTTCTGAGAATGTGACACAGTACCTAAGGTACAACCAAGAAGAGCTGATGAACACAAGCATATATAGCATCCTGCATGTAGGGGACCACAATGAATTTGTCAAAATCCTGCTGCCAAAATCTTTAGGTATATACCTTTTCCTCATATCATACCATTACTTATTTAACTTTGGTTTCATAAATCAGCATTTCAGTAACTTAAGTTAATGTCCTTCCACTACTTACAGTTTCATCTTATACACTCTATTTATTTTTAATGTATGTATAGGCTGTATGAATGATTAATATTATTCTCAAAAACATTTTCCACTCTTTTCAGATTCTGCTGTGTTAAAATTACTCTTAGTAACTCACGTTAGCTGATATTTTTAATGGATCTCCAGAGTGAATCACTAAAAGACAGCGTTAGCTATGTGAACTCTCTGTTAGTTCTCTGTCTATGCTGGTTATTCTAAGAATGGCCCAAGAAAGAGGGATTATAAAAGAAAAATCCGAAAACTCCTTATGCTAGAATTTTTATTTCATTGTTTTCGGTCTCACCAATATTTGCCCTTACCTTTCAAAACCTGTTTTTGTTAGTTGCAGCCATATTTTTTTTCCATATTAATATCAGTTTTAATGTCATTGGTTTTTGGAGGAGGAGAAAAGAAAGTCAATAATGGGCACCTCGTTTACTCACAGCAGTTTAAAAAGTATTATGCAATTCACTTTAGCCTTTTATGGCTTTACTTATAAACCCCTGAAGAATCAAGAATGTAAATGGCTAAACTGCATAAATTGCTGCCTTTATTGCATTTTTTGACTGAAGAGGGTAAGTGAGGAGTATTTTAAATACGACCCTGCTATTTCCTTATGTGGTGTTACATTAATTCGCTCTGACTGATGTCCAGTACCTATATTTGTGCATCTCAGGATTTTGTTTCCTTTTTTACTTGTCTTAAGTGCTGTGTTAGGCTTTAGTTTTATCCATCACTACACTCAGGTCATTCTCATCCCTTCAGTCTTTCCCGTTGTAGCTGACACTATGTGTTTCAATATATTCCCGATCGTATTGCTTCCTGTTTTTATAAATGCATATTAGTTTCTTTTCTTTCTGTTTCTAATCTGGACACAGATTTTTACACAGTGCTGCCGTCTCTTTTTATTAATCACTTTTAAGTTCACCGGAGAGATCCTACACACTGCCTTATTTCTTCCAGGCACATAAAATAACTCGATTGACCCAGTAGGCTTTTCACTGTACTGTATAACTTTTACACACACCAATATTTAGACTTTTATCCTGCTTTTCTACTATGTCATTATAAGTCACTTTAAAAAAAAAAAAACCACGATAGCTGAAGAAATTAGCAGTGCTCTTAAAATCTGAGAATTTTATAAATTGCCTTGTTATGTGCTGGTTTGGGCTCTAATATTAAAAATAGATTGTTGTTGTTAAATGAGCTTGTTTCCTGACCAGTCTGCAAAGCACCTTGATTAATTTCCTGTGGATAAGCAGCAGAAATGCCTGCTACCAGATTTATCTCACTATATGGTCTTTGCTTTGCTCAGTGAACGGGGGATCTTGGTCTGGTGACACTCCTAGGCGTAATAGCCATACCTTTAATTGTCGGATGCTGGTAAAACCTCTTGCTGATTCTGAAGAAGGCCATGATAACCAGGAAGCACATCAGAAGTATGAAACTATGCAGTGCTTTGCTGTTTCCCAACCAAATTCCTTCAAGGAGGACGGTGAAGGTAATTACCGCTTTCAATTTGCGTTAGTATTTTCTCTTTCCATGCTGTTGCTGCTCAGCAGTTTTGGTACGGTTGATAAAGTGAGGTAAAATTGATAAAGTGGCTTCTAAATCCTGAAAAATGGTTTTAAGTTTTTTCCTTTTTCATTTAACTGTAGAAGTGTACTTTCCTCTTCGATTATGAGCATATACACTTGCATGCGTCTATTTGTTAAACCACTATATTGAAATAGAGGGAAACCCCGTTTACCTTAAAGAGATCCCTTGGTTTTATATCCCTGCACTTGTAAGAAGAATGTAGCTGATTGGGAGGAAAGTTTTAATTTTTTGAGTTCTTAGAATTTCACCATTTCTTTTACCATTTGCTACTTCAGCAGGTAATTGTATTGTATTTTTTTTGTATTGTCAAATGTATTCAGATAAGTAAAAATAGCTTCTTATGAAGCTGCTTTCTCAGGGACAGCAAGCATTTGGGGCATGTTTAAGAAATGTGGCTTAAAAGGTACGAAGTGGTGAGTGTTGAAGAAATGTGCTCTCTGTGCGTGCAGTATATTCTTTTTTATTATTTATCTCCTGAGTGGTTGAACTGCTGCAGGTATATGCATAAACACGTGCCAGTAATTATGGGCTGTGGGGGAGTCCTTGGTAATTTTTCTTCTAAAAAAGAAAACGAACCCACCTCTCCTGTGCTGTTCAATGTCGTAGGAGTAATGAAGATGTAAAACCACTGAGTTCTGTCTATCCTTTTTTGATACAAAATCTATTCTTTTGGTCCAAAAAGATTTAAAGAACTTTTAAAAAATATTTCTGAAGTCTTTGTGGGAACAAAGTCTTCCTCGTCTATACAAATTACTGAAGTAACATTTTTCTTTAAGATTTGCAGTCCTGCTTGATTTGTGTTGCAAGAAGAGCTCCAATGAAGGAAAGACCACTTCTTCCTTCCTCAGAGAGCTTTACTACTCGCCAGGATCTGCAAGGTATTGTGAAATAGGAGTTTTTAATTTCTTTCTTCCCCTGCCCCCCAAAGGGGAAATTGCTGTAACATGTTTTATCTAATATCAGGCAAAATAACTTCACTGGACACAAGTACCATGCGAGCAGCTATGAAACCTGGCTGGGAGGATTTGGTGAGAAGATGCATTCAGAGGTTTCACTCACAGCACGAGGGAGAAATATCTTTTGCCAAGAGGCATCACCAGGAAGGTTAGGTTTCATATTTTCAGCACTTTCTATATTTAAATTGTTTGTCATTTGTATCTCTTGGTTGTGTTCTCTTTGTTATGTTTACTTGGAACAATAAAGGGCTACCGACAGTCCTTTTCAGGCTGATTTGCCTCGCACACTGACGGTGCTCTCTAGAGAGGTTTTGCACCTTTCTCCCTGTTTGTTTTAGCCCACTTGTTATAACTATGCTATATTGGAGGGTGCTTTAAATCTTCAAATCTCACAATTATTTTAGAGCGAACGACCATTGCGTGTTGCCCACTGAAACATTCGCTACCCATTATTCTTCAGAGCCTCAGCTCATACATTGCAGTTCATTGACCTGTATTCTTTTTCTCTACAAAAATGGACTTTTACTGTCACATTTCCTGTGAGAAATACTCAGCGTGAATTTTCAAAGATGCAGCGCTCGTACTATCTGGAAACCTGCATTGTTGTACTGTATCTAGGTGGTAAGTGTTACAGGATACACCACAAGCACATCTACTCAGTCAAGATTACGGTAGGTAAGATGTAGGAGAGTACCGCACCGTGAAAGGTTCCCCGTGAGGTTTCTTGTAGTGGGGATTTTCCTTTTCATAAACCTCTGATACTGCTAATTCTAGTAACACAGATCCAAAGTACTAAAAAACAATAACCCTTTATAGTCCACAGGAAAGTCCTGTCAAAACCAGTGGGAGATAACTGGAACGTTTCCAGTGCAGGAGCATCATTCTTTGGGTTCACATTTGTAGAACAGGGTTTACAGCTGGCCTGTAACAAATAGTTGCCATGGTCATTAAAAAACTGGCATGCTGTCTTGAAAACTAAATTGTAACTGGAATCTCTAATTATTCCACCAAATAAACACACACAGACACACACACACAAAAAGCTTTAGCCATGCGGCATTAGTTAACTATTCTTTAATATATTCTGCTTTCATGAAACCTTCAGGTCTCATTTTGGGAATGTGAGGGCAGAGAAATACTGCGATATTTTAGATAACAGCTTTTGGGGTATATACAGTAGAATGCTAAAAGTTCACAACCTTACGCTGTGATTTCAGAGAGAACTGAAGAAGGTAGTATGTAAGTAAAGTTACAGCAGGGGTTGAGAGAGCAGTTTCAGGTAAGGACCTGTCTGTGCCAAAGGCGATTTAGGAGTGACATCCAGCCACTTGTTACTTCAGCCCTCTTCAAATGATTCCTGACCAAATCACAGCTCCTACATCCAGTGCTGAGGTTTGAGTGGGTCCTCGCTAAGCTATCTGTGAAGTGATAAAAATACACCTGTTTTGGAGTTTACACTGTATCATTTTGCAGGAGAGGCTTCGGATCGTCATATAAACTGTAGAATTACTCTAAATGAAGGGGCTTTTTACATCTTGTGGAAGTGAAGAGAGTGAGTGATAGGAGGAGGAAAAACCTCTGGAATTGCTTTGCTGCAAAGGATCCAGCACTAGCGAGGAATAACGGCTGAAGTGTTTCCTTCCCCTGCCCTGCAGCATGGAGAAGAAAAACCAGGCATATTTTGGGCC